CTGATGTGGGAGGAAGAAGAGATTAAAAAAAAGTGTTTCGAAAGAATTTTGTTCGAATTCCCTTTGAAATTAAGCCCAAGATGCATTTTGACAGAGCGGTCTCCATAGTATGCATTCCGTATGGGGGGGGAGGAGAGGAGGAAATTAAATGTACCGAAACAGAAACTTTGCAGAAATATCTTATTAAATTTATACTTTCTGCCAGTTTTACGAAATTTTAGAAATCGCTTAGTTTAGCAGAACCTTGCATTTTTGCTGCGTCTTTAGGAGTCTTTTAGAAGCATTATATAATTACGAATTCCGGATTGCATTTAAAAATTCTATCGTCAAAAATCTCGTTTCTCGATTTTCCAAAAATAGTCTTAGAATACTTAAGAATTAAGAAAAAGAATATTATTTCTTAATATCTACTAAGTTACAATTACGGAAGTTATTTTTTGCGGGAAAAAGTGCAAAATCCCTCGACCACTTATTTGGATTTGGCAAAGCACGTAATGACTATCTGTCTAAAGAAGGGACTCTTTCTTGGAGGAGTTTCTAAACTTTCTAACAGAAACTAACTCATGTTCGCATTGTGGTGTTATCACACCTAACGACGCGTGGAGATAACAGAAACTTTTCTGAGGAACGAGCTTCTCATTCTCCTACCACTGCTGAATTATTACCTGGAAGAGACAACGTCATTAGACTGGTACGATTGAAAACTACAAATGCACAAATTGTATATCCCGTACAATGAATTTTTTCATTAGAACTTTCATGCAGTTGATTCGAAGATCTAAAAAACGAAAGATTTGAACAAGCTGGAGTTGAAGGGTATTCAATGGAAAACATATAAAAAGATATAAAATCTGTAAAAACCGGAAGTGGAAGAAAAGTCGGGACTATCCAGAGCCTAGACTTATAGACTTTATGAATATTTGGACTTTAGTTCTTTTATGTTTATCCTTTTAATTTTAAGTTTTCTTTAACATTTCTAGTAGGTTAAGTTGTTTCCCAACAACTTGAGGTTGAATTTCAAATGAATCTAGTTTGTAATTTATATTTACTTTCCTTTAATTTTTTTACGTACTGTCGTTTGGCCACTAATAATTATTGTTAGTTTTGTTTCTTGGATGTGGGAACAAAACAATTTATAGAATTAGAAAAATATGCGAGTGTAGTTAGTTAGGTTTATTAAAGAAAACTGACTTGTTATTTACATGAGTGATATTTTATTTAAGTTCCAAACATCTTTTCAGCAAATAAATGACTACTTTAGAATATTTTTATTAGTCTCTAGATTGCATTACGCTGGTAGCATAATAGTTTATTTTGACGCGTAAGAGAGCAATACGTGTAATAATTTATAATTTTTATAGAAAACGTTAAAAAGTACCTTTGAATAAACAGAAAATAATACTGAAATAATAATAATAATACTAAAATTGATGCAAAAATTATTACATTAATATTCAGATTTGTTTGTAACTTTTCTTGCTTTTGATGAAATAAAACTGACAGTAATTCGTTTTTGAAAATCTATTTGATTATGTAATTTATACTCTGCATAGATAAAGTTGATATTTGAAAGTTGGTTTAGGCCAACAGCTGATTTTTCATTTTTTTAAAGTTTTTGAAGCTTCTTTCAACCCAACATTAGCAATACGTAAGATTAAGAAAATATTTTTTAACGCAATATCCGTATTCAAATATGATCGAATTAAACTGGATTACCATTAAAACTGGATTTACCACTAAAAAGATCAGAATTATTAAAATAGCGTTCATTTTAAAACTAGGTATTTCTGATGTAATATCTAGAGCATTTATATCATTTAGATATTTAAATGCTAAGTAAAAGCTTCTCCTTTGCAAAAAACGTAAATCCAGTTACATTTATATTTCACTAATAGAAACTGAAAATCGGAAGCTATCTTATGTTTTTTTAAATTATGAGGTTAAAAATCTCTCATATGAAATTAGCAATATAAAAAATATTTTTCTGGTAAATTAAGTTTTTATCAATTGCTTCTTGACAGTCTGATTTATCAACTTTATTTTTCTCTTCTCTTTATATTCTGTTAATATAGTCATCTTTTGAAGCTTATTTTGGAATACCTCTAAATTACTTTCTCTTATGTTTCGTAAAGAAATGGATATTCCTTCTACCATGTTAATTTTTTTAATTCAATATGCAAAGGCTTTGGTCTACTGGTCTAAACTGAGGGATACTTTCGTGGAGGGCATTTTAGGGAAAACTGTCTCATATTTACGTTATAATACGTGGAAAAGAACGAAAATACCCATGCAGCCTACCCAATTCTCCGGGATCGATGTTAAGTTAATCGCTAAGATTGTAATTTTGGTATCTCTAAAGTTTCGTTTGCAATGCTTTATTTACCTTTTCTTTTTCTTGCAATGTTAAGTTCGACGAAAACAAATGTAAAATTTTAAACCAAACTACTTAAAGACGTTATGGGTTTCAATCCATTAAAATGACTTATCATTATATTTAAAAATTTCTTATATTAAATTTGAAATTTGTATAAATAAAACTGATTAACAATGAGCTGAAGATTGCATAGAATGTAAGATAATAGTTTTTCTATCTGACTTGAAATATTTAATTGTCAAGAGTTAATCATGTTTTTATTTTGTTTCATTAATAGGCTAAAGAAAGGCGCACGTGTGCGCAAGTTTTCAAGAATATACCACCACTTTTATTGCTTTTCGTGCTATTTCAAGACGGTATTTTTCGATACGATTCAAATCTGAAAGTTAACTGTCATAACTTCTTTTTTAAATATACGTCTAAAATTCGTAGCTACCTTAGCGCCTCTCTTAGCTGTTTACCTGAGGCAAGTGGCTCATTTGCCTCATTCTTTTTCCGGTTCTGGTGTTGTGATTCTCCGACATTGCGCGCGAAACTGGCATTTTTGGGTGCAGAATTATTAGGATTAAAGATGCAAGATTCGTTGAATATTTCTGATAATGCTAATGGAGACCTCAAGTTAAAACTACAGCATCTTTATCATTTGAAAATCCCAAAAGAATTGAAATACATTTGAAAAATCATCTTTATCAATAATTAGGGAATCGAATGAAAGGCTATAATATAATCGTTAAACATTTTCATCGAGCTTTAGTTTACCGAACATTTTTGCCCTTCTGTTAAACGCTCCTACAAATTTGAAAACTTACACGCGAAAGATTTCCATCTAATTGATAATGCTTCAAGCCAACCAACGCATTTACGCGATTTAATTACGCATTCCAGTGATAGTGATTTTATTGTCGTCAAATGCAACTTCGTTAATCTAACCAATGCCGTGCGCCGTTTCGGAATCAAGATCGGAAATCTCTGTAACGGTGTCCGGAAGTAATGAAAGTTTTCTAGATGACTTCTTTTAGACATCTGTTTACGGAACGCTTATTCGTTGTGTAAAAAACATGGTGGTACGAATTTCCAGTTTCGAATGGTTATTATCGTTTGACTGATTGAAAGGCATGTGACAGTTGAAGGTAAAAGAAAGGTCTTCCTGACATATTAATCAGCTCAATTAAGAAAGACAATTTGAGAGGTGATGTTACCAAAAGAAAAAAAAAAAAAAAAAAAAAAAAAAAAAACTAACATCCGGTGCTGTGTTATAGAGTTTCTCACTTTCATTCTGTCAAATTAAGTGTCGAAGAACCTAGGCGAATAATTGCTTAATTCAAAGAACAGAAACGTAAATTCAAGAAGGGTTAATTACATTTTATTTACTCAAAATAAGACTTAACATTCGGACCCTTTCTTAGGCCTCCACTTGGGCATAAACTCAAAATGTAATAAATAAGAACTAACTAATGAGAAGCTAATACAATTCTAAACTAGTTGGCCCGTTATATTAAATTAGCCAGCGAACTATCAAAAGACACGTAATATACACGAGCGGAATAGCAGTTTAGAGAGACCTAACCCAAAGGCAAACGCGAACTGCTGAGGAATCCTAGCCCTCTCTGTCGAAGTCAGTTGAACTTGACTTAAATACTCTTCTCTACCTCATTTGCATTTAATGCGATTCTAAAAGCTCATTCTGGTATGGAGTTGTAAGTCGAAAGTAGATATTATAGGAAAGATGCTTTACATTAAAATAATTTTTTTTAAATTAAAATATACCTTACAGTGTGTTGACTGAGGAAAAATGGCTACAGCGGAAAAATTAGAAAAGACTATTTTTGTCCGGATCATGGTAGAAATTGGATCTAGCCTAGTTTTAAGATATGTCATGCTAAATCAGATCTTTGAAAAAAAAATAAAAACCCAGCAAGAAGGCTAACAAAATGTAATTGAATTTGAACGTAATTGTAAAATAATTGTATTTCTTATATATAAAACCGCAAATGTATCTTTCCTGGTAGGCGCTTGAAGTCGAAAAAAAACCAACTTACAGGGAAAATATTATTATTTTATTTGAAGTAAAAAAGTTATTCTAAATACTTAAAAGTAATACAAATGTTAATTTTAATAACATTTTCCTACTCACAAATGGGAAATGAATAAAAGATCTTGACAATATTTGGATCGATTTGGTTAATCCAATCCATTGATCAAAGTGTAATTTCAAATTTTAGATCTTATTATTTGCGGCGGACATTCCAATAGCTGAACTGATAAAACCGATGGAGAAAGATAAGCAATCCGTTATAGATTTTCATGAAAACTACAATATCATGGATGCTATAGATCAGCGGTTCCCAACCGCTGTTCCGCGGCACACCAGTGTGCCGTCTGAAGCACCGTGGTGTGCCGCCGGGTCTGGGTGTCACGGTGCTGTTCGCCCGCTATAACTCCTCCCGTCACTCCCCCTGCCAGTGTCATAGGTGGTCACGGCGCTGTGCAGTGCTATAACTCCTCCCCCTGCCAATCTTGACAAGTGTCCGCCGTGTCCTCGCCCCCATGAGACGCAGGCAGACGCCTCACACAGTATCAGAGAGACAACGGCTGCTGTGAGGAGAGAGACACTGATACTGCAGTGATGGACAAGTTTTTGAAAAGGAAAGAACTGGACTCTGAACAAAATCTGGAGCCAGATGAGAGCCCGAGTATGAGTGGGGGTCAAAAGAAAGCAAAGATGGTCAAATTCTCTGGTGCAAGGCAATATAGCGAAAGCTATATTTCAGTTGGATTTACTTTCACTGGAGATGAACACAAACCAACTCCACTGTGCGTGGTGTGTGGTGAAAAGCTAGCTAACAGTGCTATGGTCCCAAGCAAACTTAAACGCCATCTCCGAACGAAACACTCTTTGCTTCAAAACAAGAATGTGGACTTTTGTTCGCCTCGCTGCGTGACAACATGGAGAAACAGGCAACTTTTATGAGAAAAACAACAAAGGTAAATGAAAGAGCTCTTAAGCTAGCTATCAAGTTGCTGAACTTATAGCCAAGACAAAAAAGTCGCACACTGTGGCAGAGACATTAATACTTCCTGCCTGCAAAGCTATTGTAGAGGAGATGCTCGGACCTGAAGCAGCAAAGGAAATAGCCAAAGTCCCTCTCTCAAACAACCAATTTCCAGACGTATTAATGACATGTCTGCAGACATCGAAAGTGTGGTTTTGGAAAAGATCCGTATCAGTGAGAAATTTGCATTGCAACTTGACGAGTCTACTGATATCAGTGGACATGCTCAACTCTTAGCTAATGTGCATTTTGTTGATGCTGATGCAATTAGAGAAAACTTCTTTTTTTGCAAGGTATTGCCAGAAAAAACAACAGGAGAAGAAATTTTTTGGGTCACATCAGAATACCTTGAACAAGGAGGACTTAAGTGGGAAAACTGCACAAGTGTATGCACCGATGGAGCTGCAGCCATGGTCGGGTGCACCAAAGGCTTTGTAAGCAGAGTGAAGGAAAGAAATCCAGATGTGATTATTACGCATTGTTTTTTACACCGCGAGGCCCTCGTAGCCAAGACTTTACCATCAGCCTTAGTTCATGTGTTGGATGATGTTGTGCGCATGGTAAACATTGTAAAGTCACGACCCATGAAAAGTCGCATATTTGCAGCTTTGTGTGAGGAGATGGGAGCAAAGCATAAAACCTTGCTGTTTCATACGGAGGTCTGGTGGTTGTCGCGTGGCAAGGTCTTGGTTCGTGTGTATGAGCTGCGGGAGGAACTTAAAGTGTTTCTGACAAATGAGGGGTCAGATTACGCAAAGCAGCTTGCAAGTGATGAGTGGTGTGCAAGGCTGGCATACCTGGCAGATATATTTCATCATCTGAATGAATTGAAAACCCGAATGCAAGGCCGAAATGAAAACCTGCTTACAAGTACAGATAAAATAAATGGATTCCGTTCAAAGGTGCAACTCTGGCATCAACACGTGGAAAGTGGCAATCTTGAAATGTTCACACTCACCATACAATGGCAAGGTGTTTACACTGCTGCACTATGTGAGATAATAGTTAAGCATTTAAAAACTCTTGAGGAGAAGTTGTCATTTTATTTCTCTTCAGTCTCCACTGAATGCCTTGACTGGGTTAGAGACCCTTATAGCTCAGCATCAGTTGTTGGAAAGGAAATGACTTTACAGGAGCAGGAGGAACTAATTGAACTGAGACAAAATCGTGGTTGCAAGCTAAGATTTTCTGATCTACCTTTGGACAGTTTTTGGTTAGATACTGCCAAGGAGTTCCCCCTTCTGGCAAACAAAGCTATTTTGACATTGCTCCCTTTTTCCACTACATGTCTGTGTGAGATTAGCTTTTCAAGCATGATTGCTATGAAAACCAAATACAGAGAGAGACTGAGAACTGTTGACGAAGAGCTACGTGTGTGTCTTTCTTCGATTCCAGCCAGAATATCAGCTTTGTGTTCAGCCAAACAGGCCCAGGTTTCGCACTGAAAGTATTTTATAATTTTTCACTATTCTGTTTACTTAATATTTCATAATAAAGTAATTATAAAATACTTTCTTTGTGCTTATTTGATTCCTATTCAATAGAATTACTTTATTATAGTCAATATAGGCACAGAGTTAATTTTTTAACATTTTCTAATGGTGGTGTGCCTCCGGATTTTTTTCCCCGCGACAAGTGTGCCTTGGCCAAAAAAGGTTGGGAAACGCTGCTATAGATAACATCAGTCTTTTCTGAGATTGAGAGGTAACTGAAATATGTTTGAAAAGGTGTACGGAAGAATGTATGGCAAGGATGTTGACACAAAAGAATTCATTGTTGTTGTCAATGAAATTGTCAAATTAGATAACAAAACAGGTTTCGATAATATAAATGCTCAGGATACTGAAGAATTATTGCAAGTTACAACTGGTGAAAGTCTTTCCAACGATTATCTTAGAAAGTAATTCGAATAACAAGTTCACGAAAGTGACAAAATTAGTGTTTCTGAAAATGAGGAGTAAATTTTTACTCCTCCACTAAATTAAATTAAATAAGAAACTAAATATATAAATTAAATATAAGAAACTAAAATTTTCATTGGATTTTCTGAAAAACGTTTAGCCACTGTAAGGAAACTTACGGATCACTTAATACAAAATGATTTAAATTTTGATAGAAATTCATAGGGTGGCAAAGTGTCACAGATGCTATGCCTTGCTATCATTGGTAACTAGTTGCTGAACGGAACAAGAAAAAGTAAATGCATTTTTTCACTCCCTCTCAAAAAAAAAAAAAAAAAAAAAAAAAAAAAAAATTAAAGAACTTTTTTGTTACAAACATAATTTCTTTACTCGATTTTTTTATCTTCAAGAACTTTATGTGAGTAAAAACCGGTATTAGCAATAACTAAGTCTATAATTAATGTAATAAAAGAATATTTAACAATAAATGTTAAAAAATTTTTAAAATGATAAATTTTGTTATTATTTTTTGTTTCATTTATTCCCACTATTTACGTTTTAAAATTATAATGTATTTTCTCCTTCGTTACTGCGTGCTTTCTTTGTGTAAATGTGTAGCACGTCTTGCCAATTAGGACGTCTAGTCTTGGAATCCCAGGGAATCACCCCACCCCACTGCACATTTTTCATGATCTTGCATCGATACAACCCAATAACAATACGACCTTGTTTAATGCTGTTTCGTTTAACGCTGGATCTTAATGGAAAGTGTACCCACGTTAATCAGATGTTACGTATATTGGTTTGTCTTTCTCAGCTTTAAAACTATTTGACTTTCTTTGATGCCTTTTCAAAGGTCCATCACGCGTCGTTTCTAGATCTTATTACGAGAAAGTGTATCGTTTCATTCCACAGCTGTCCATTTTATCTGAAAACTAAATTAAAGTTTGATTACGTGTTTACTTTTACGGCCCTTTTGGTGAAGATTAATCCCTTACGAAGTGAAAGTTTTACACCATTCGGTCACGCGACCCATTATCTCGTGGGCAAAGACCATCTGTGAGTTTTATAGCTCAGCAAAGAAAACTTGGGTCCAATTTTCCGTTTCTTTTAAAAGGTAGTCTTAGATAATGACTTCAATACGTCAACACGACGCTAGAAGATAGACCACGAATTGACTGTAAAAGGAGCATTAAAACTGGACGATCGGTTGAACTAAAATTTACAGACCTTCGAATTGGAAGTAATTGAATAAGCTGCAGAAATTTTCCCAATAAAATTGCTCTGAACTTGCATGTTTAATAACAAGAATTTTCATAAAATAATTAGAACAACTTAATTATTTAAAATTATATAAAAAGAATTTTGATAAATGTAATCGTTTAGTTAGTGCTGCAAACCTTGGTTGTATCAGTTTTAAGTTCTAATATATCGTGCTATTTCAAAAGCGTTATTAATAAAAAAATTACAAATTTTAAATTTCAGATTAAAAACTGATAAAAGTCTAACATCTAAAAAAGAGAGTATACTGCTGAAACTTTTAAAATAATATACATATTTACATATTTCCGGCAATGTATGAAAGCTGGCATTTTATGTAGTGCCAAAAACTGACCGCAATGTATGAAGCGATTAACATTTCATACATTTCCCAGGCATCCTATAGAATGTCAAGTGACAAACCGAAAGCGTTCTAAGTATATCTCCGATTTGTGTCGAATATCCACACATTTAATACATTTATACGTAATCCATACATTTAATACATTCATTCCATATACTTGTGCATTTTCATACATAGTTTTCTTCAGTAAGAAAGGCATATTATTTGTTTTGTATTACTTTCATTTATCTTTGCGTATTTAGAAGTTTTTTAATGGCACTCTTTTATTAAAGTTTTTTCAAAATAACATTTGTATTTTTGAGGAATGCCAGTCTTTTAAATAATTAGTCTTACAATAACCTTTTTTCATACTTTGCCGACACAACCTTTGTCATTCTATAGAATACCTAGGTATTATATACAAAGCCTAAGGAACGTATATAATAATTCTCACACCTAAAAACGCCAATCATCCTTAAAATGCCTTGGTATTTTAAGGAAAGCTGACGTTTCATGCACTGCTGTTAACGTGTAATTAAATTTAAAATAAATTAAAAGAAACTTTAAAAATCACAGTCAGTTTGGCAATAAAGAAGTAGGAAAATAGCACAGATATGTTTGAAAAAACAAACTGTATTAAATGTCTTCTTTGCTATATCCCATTTCAAGCGCTCTCAATTAAAATCGTGGCACTTCAGCTTTTTTATTCAGGATCAACGCAAAATATGAAAGCGCAGTAGAAGGTCACGTGACTGTGATGTATGTATAAAGTGATAAACTATGACTCTTCGTCTTTTAGACATTTCTTAAATAAAACAATGACATTCGACAGTGACCTAATTTAGAAAACAAGATGTTTTTAAAACATGAGTACGATATACTACTGTTTTTTTGAAACAGAATTCTGTATCTTGAAAATTGAAATGCCCAAAGCATAAAACCGCATTCTAACAGAAAAATGAAAACGTTTGAAGAGCTAGCTAGAATAAAATCAATTAAAGGTATAATGCTCTAAAGAATCATGAAGACCATGAGCGTAATACTATCACATTTTCTTTAAATAAATTTATTATTTTATATACTTTTAAAGCAGTGGCTAGCGCATCGAGCAGCAGCACCACAAGTCCGGGGTTCGATTCCCGGGGTGGGCAAGGTCGACTCAGCCTTTCATCCCTTGATTTTCATCATAAAATGAGTACCAAGTTTGCAAGGCGACTAAACACAGGGGGTCCTGCGACAAGCTGACCACTTGTTCAGGGCATATGCTTACGCATACCGGGGCCCACGGTCAAGAAAACAGATTTTCGGGCACTGCAGGCCTTGGCCCATTAGGGCTGTTACGCCGCTGAGTTTAGTTTTATATACTTTTGGCAGAATAGATTTTTTTAGGATTATTTGTTTAACATAGTTACTGCATGATGTTCAAACAAAATATGTCTTTCTCTCCGGCTGATATAAGTGTTCTTTATGCGCCTTAATATCCACACCAATTATAATGAAAGGTTAAAAATAGAAAGATTGAAATGCTACGATTTTTGATGTTCTCACCCAGAGCACCTGCAGAAGGGAAAAAAAGGCCCTTAAATGGCAGGGTATTGGTTGCCACTTTTAAAACGTTTGAATTGGGATAACCCGAAATGGAATATCGTTGTCTTCTTCAGGTATACAGAAAAATACAAAACGAAAACAAATTTCTGTTTCTAAACCAGAAAAGCTTTAGTTACCGGTTAAGAGATGCAGAGTTAAGCTTAAAATAAATCAAAACCGTAATAGCTCAACCCCTTTTAGGATAAAAATGAAAATGAATATAGACTGCAAAAACGAAGATCAGAAAAAAAAATATGTATACGAAAAATTTAATTCTTAAATTCAACAAAGTGTAATTTTGAAATATGCAGATACACAGAAATACAAACGAGAAAAGAAATAATAAAGCAGTTTACAGCTCTAGAACCTAGTAACAAAAAAAATTTCTCGTAACGAGAAGATTGTAGAGATTTACAAAAAACATTTAATTTAGTTCAAAGCATAAGTTTTGCTAACCATTAAGAAAACAAAATTTTGAAACATATTAAAATTTAATATTGCGTCCGAAATAAAGAAGTAAGAACGAAACTGCTAGTAATTGAACCTTAAATTTTGCAGACGTACAATGAAATTTGAATTTATTAATAAGGTAAAAAATATTATTGCGACTTGCACTGAAAAATAGTAATTCAATGGAAATAAAATTTTCAGTTAGATAATTAGGGATTAAATAATTTTTATATCTTATAAACAGCATAACTGCGAATAACGAGACTTTTGTTTTTTAAGAAAGGAAAGATAAGATATGTTCGAAGAAGTTGAAGTACTTTTGTCAATAGTAGGGAAAAAATGGTTAGGAAATGCAACAAGCTCAGTTATCAAAGCATTAAGAAGCTTATGAAATTAAAACAGTAAAAGAAAGACTTTAAAAATGTTAATTCGACCAAATGGAATATAAATTTTTAAATTTAAAAAAGACTAAAATAAACTCAGAGTAGAACTCCAAAAAACTAATAAACTTACAATATGCTTTAAACACTGCAATCATTGTAAAATTAATAATAAACTTAAAATAATAATATTATAAAATAACAATTATCAAATTCATAAAAGTAAAACCAAAGTAATGCACTGTATATACACTGAAGTGACAAAAGTCATGGGATAGCTATATGCAAATATACAGATGGCAGTAGTATTGCGTAGAAAATGTATAAATGCGAAGTGCTTTGGCAGGGCTTTCATTTGTGTTCAAGTTATTCATGTGAAGAGGCTTTGATGTAATTATGGCCGCACGACGAGAATTAAAAGACTTTGAGCGCAGAATGGTAGTTGGAGCTAGACGCATGGGTCATTCCATTTCGGATATCGTTAGGGAATTCACATTCCGAGATCCACAGTGTCAAGAGTGTGC